TTGGAACGCTCGTCTGTGAAAGATACCTCCAGCTCACAGAAGATCACAGTAAAATAACACTAACTTTTGGTTGTGTTGTGTTTCTGTCGGTGAGTAAAGTTCCACGGCTCCACGGGGTAGGGAATTGGGTCAGGGTAGGCAACTTTGGTATCGCAATCATCTATAGGCTATGGTTATATGCTTACCATCAGGCGGGCCTTTCGCTACCCTTTTACCATAAAAAAAACTTTCAATTGCCTCCAGTGCTCACTCAAACACATTCACTTCACTGCATTGAGCTTTATCTGTGCCATCTTTACTCATGCGCACACTGACCGCCGCGTGCCAAGCGCCAACCAAACAGATCGTTAAAGTGCAATAAATATCTTTTCAAAAAGTGCGCCTTTCATTAAATAGGTACACACTTACTTTGCGAAAACACAAATTTTCTGAACACTCGTAAAAAGTGTTTCGCATAACACGAGCTTGCAAGTTGTGATGTCTTCTTAAAATAAAAATCAATTGCCACAATGATAGAGAATCACTTTAATTTAGCTGATTGCTTTTTGTTATGACTGTGATTGTGATGGCAGGATTCGTTCACAAAAAATAATCATCGAAATCTTTTCATAATTGACGGACTAATCGCACAATAAACATACCATTTCTTTCCATAAGAAAGTCATTTGCCTCTACATGAACACAATCATAATAATAATAATATAAAGCTGTTATGAAATAATAATAAAGAAATGATTAATAGTAAAGATCATAGAGCAAAAATAAAACATCACAATAAACGTATTACTACTGTATATATTTTTGTCATGCAGGAAAAAACATTACGTAGAACCGTTTCTAAAGTGATGAAAGCCCAAGAGACATAATTTTGCAATATACTATTTCCCACATTTTGCGGTCGTAAAAGCAATCTTTTTAAATATAAACGCGGGTCAAGACTGAGGAAACTTCTTTCACTGCCAAATAAATGTCACTTCAGGAACGTGTACTGGGACAAAAATTGTTGAAAACATTAGGCAATGTTTACTACCAATAAAAGCATTTGTATAACAAGGCTATTGTAGTCTCTCGTTGAACTTCCAATCAATTTATTTAGTTCTTATATTTTTTATTTTTTAAGCATGTAACAGCTTGATGTTAAAATCTTAAGAAAGAAGTTATGTTAACTAGAAAAAAATCCACGCAGACCAGGCAGCATACCGGACTCGAAACCGCACCCTTTGCTATCCGGGCAAACGCACTGACAAATTATGCTACCGCGGTCCTGATGGCCGCGTCGAAATTCTTCTAGCCATTCTTAAGCTGGAAGGCAGCGCCAGCTCTTCGCATTGTAGGTATCCCTCAATGTCAAATGAATACTTTTACAAGTATTAAACATTTTGAATTTAGTTCTTTACCGAGACCTTTTTAGTTTTAAATTATAAATTTTTAAAAGAATAGAAAAAATTATCAGCATAGCATTATATGTAACAAGAAATGATCAGTTGTATCTCCCTATCCCTCAGAGATAAAGGCATGAGAATGTACTTAATTTAACTGTGCATCACCGAGTGTATTTCACAGAAATGAAAAAAACTGGCAAAGAGCATTTATTTCTATAAGTTTTATCCCAGCAATGTCAATAGACAACACTAGGTAAATATTTTACGAAATAAATTCTTAGTGTGATTATCTACTCTTTGGAATAAACTCTGGAATAATGATATGTAATTTTGGAATATATTTTTGGCACAGACGATAATAATCTTTCATCTCGGTATTTAAATAAATAGCCAGCAAGCAGCCAAACTTAAAATTGTGTTCATGGTGATAGTGTATCTTTCACAAGTTCCTATAATAACGGAATAAGATATATATTAATTCAAGCAATATCAAAACTATTTCTTTTCACCATTCTTACCAAGGCCGTCTTTGACTTAATGGAGGCCCTGGGCATATAAGGATAATGGGGCCCCTTTGACTTTGATGAGGATTATGACTTAAAATGGAGCGAGTCACACTGATAAGTGCACTACTGTAATTTTTATTTAAAAAGTGTATGTGCTTAGTATACCATTATATATTTAAATTTATCTAAGCATGATGAAGTCGGAAAGCCTTATTTTGGGCGAGAGTAGAATAGCTTCGCGCATATAAAAGCTAGTAAGTTGGTATTGTAGTTAGTAATGTAGGTTCCATTTCTTCGAATTATATAAGTATTTTGGTAATAAATGTTGGTTATCGTTTGATGATATGACAGTAACTTTGGACTGTGTATTTGATCTGAGGGGGGGCCCTATCGATCGCGGAGCCCTGGGCACTTGCCCAAAGTGCCCACTGGGAAAGAGGGGTCTGATTCTTACCGAAGAATACAGTAAAATAACACTGCCTTTTAGTGGTGTTGTGTTTCTGTCAGTGAGTAAGGTTCCAGGGCTCCACGGGGTAGAAGATTGGATCAGGGTAGGCAACGGCGCAAGTGATATTTTTTGTATCGCATACGTCTATAGGTTATGTTGGCCGCTTACCATCAGGGAAGCCACATGCTTATTTGCCACCCTTTTAACATAAAAAACCAGTGATTAATATATTCCACTCATTTTGCAACCCAAACTAAGTAAGGTCGTCAGTAAGGTCGTCACAAAAAATTTACTAAGCAATTTTTTTTATATTTATTTTCCAATTATTATATTTTTAATACCACTCAAGTGGCAAACAATTATGCAGTCTATTGATGGTAAGTAGCTACCACAACATATAGATGCTTGTATATCGCAATACCAGAAACATCAGTCAGCGCAATAACAGTAAAAATATTTTTGAATAAATCCCACTGTAGGTTGGCTCAATGGACGACAGAAAGGGAGATCAGCAGAAAATTCATTCCATATAATTTCTTAAACCGTTTTAGTACATAAAATAAATATGTTAATTACATTCATATAATATACATCAAATAGACTTTAAATGCTAATACCGAATATCTCTAATTTATCAAAAAATACTGTTTTCTAAATGTAAATAAATGAACGATAATTGTTTTGTTATAATAGGCGTGTCGTTCGATGTGTAGACGCATTATTCACAGTACACCAGGTTATTCAACCAAGGCACATTGGCGACTGACGTGTCCTATCTAAAAATATGCTGGGGCATGCCTCATTGCGTGTGTGATAATAGCCGGTTTTTTAAACCCAGTAATTTACTGGCACAGCAAATTCTGTAAATAGAACTCTATTTGATCAAGTATTTCAATACCACTCTTTTCTGTTTGTATTTTATGGTAAAACTAAATAGCCATCAGAATTCACAGAACGGTATACATATATCAAAGGTTAATCGGTAACTTTGAGGATTCCATGAATGACTAAGAAAACTTTTGGGAATTTAAAACACCTTATGCAGAAGATATAGAAGTTTAGAAGCACTTAACAATGTCAAAACATATGTTTCTCGGACTTGTGTACTGATGTTTCTTCTTGCACAAATAGTTAAATTGACGTGTTTCCAGCGATTAGATGCGCACGTCATGGTTGTGAATGATTCGTTGGCAACCACGACGGGAACCGCTTGGAACCGGCTCGCCAATTAACTACGACGGACTTTCATAGAGATCTATTAGAATTACATATGCAACCACCGTTTACTTTTATTCCTTTGCCAAGAACCAAGCGTGTATTTATTGAAATTTCACTACAATGTAATCGTCACATGTTTGTTATCCTTGCTTATTAAATATTTGTCATACGTTTGATGTCACAAAGAAACACTGTTAATGAAGTTAATTACTTATATTTTCAGGGCATAAAAACAAGAAACATATTTTTCTTTTATAATATACTACAATGAATACAGACTTAAACAGCAAAATTTATTGTGACTTGCGAATCGTTAAAGTGCTCATAATAATGCTTTAATATAATAAATGAAGGCAGCATAAAAGAAACATACGTCCTTGCGATGTCTTTTCCATTTCAACGGAGAAATAAAAATTCAACGAAATTCAAGCTGACAAGTACCTCTTCCAGATTACGTTCAAGTTTCACCGTAAACGATCTTCTATATATCTCTCTCTTCATATAAAAGCATACAAGAACACGACACAACGAAATTATTATATTAGAAGTAATTTCACTTTCCCGCTTCAATGATTTGAATTACTTCGCTTCGATATTGGATTCGACTGAAATGAAGATCGCATCCGAATAATTTCGAAAAATTTACGGGAAAAGCCTTAGTGTACGTTTCGCTAAACATATCAAATGTCGCCTTACCTGTGGATTAGACAGAACCTAGTTTTCCTATGCTGTCAACTTAGTAGCTTTTATACACTGCTTTCGAGGTTGATGAACTTTCTTACCGAAGCCAAACCCGAACTGTCACATAAAATTTTCAGATATTTTCTATGTTATTCGATTATAAGATCTCTTTATTGCAAATCCAATTTTATTATATCGAGTTAAGAATATAAGTTTATTATAAGTAACGAAACTAAGCAAAACAAAATCTATTAATGACTAAATCGAAATAAATTCAACCTTGAGTGTTGTGTTCTTCAATTAAAAATCTTGCAAAATACTGAATATATAATATACTCGTTTATTATGAGTTCGTCGAAATACGTGTAGCTCATTAGATTTCTAAGTGACATTAATAGAACTCAAATTTTCAGACGTTACATGACAATGTAGCCGGATGTCTAAGCATTTTGTATCGAAAATGCAACAAAAATATAAACAGTACTGACTAATGATACTCATACAGTGCTAGTAATTACTATTCCAAATTTTCAATTTTCTGTGAAATTTATTGGTCCATAACTTCTATGAAATTGATGCTAAACAGTTTTCGTAAGCAGTCGGTGACAACAATCCGTCCTGTTTACGAGTTCTGTTTACAGGGAAATAATGTGGACTGTAGGTTTGTCATCAATTGTTGCGTTCTTACAATTTTCTAGACATTACTCATATGTGTTAAAGTCTTAGCAACCTTGACTAAAATACCTGTTTTTTTTTTGTTTGCAGTGTTCGTACTCATTCATAATAATGAGGGACGAGCGAGCCGGCACACCGCGCGTGCGCATCGCCGTCATAGGCAGCTCGAGAGTTGGCAAATCTGGTGAGTAAAACTTGAAAACACGCAAAAACTAGTCGCAGAAATAGCACTAACAACGTCACTCATAATGATACTTTATGAAACTTTATATCGGGCCAAGAAAAAGATGAAGTAAATGTCGGTATTTTCTTCATGCTGAATAATTATCATAAAGAAATTCATAGTTAATGATGAGGAAAATATGTTCTGTATCCTCAATTTTTTTATATACCCAAGCTAACCAGCTTGGGTATATTGGGTATATATGATATGATGTGAGCCAAAAACTTTGATGGGGGAATCTACACGACGCAAACCTCCTACAAAATTGTTTTGGAAATTGTTGTACGAGGTCCGGGTTATATTTTTTCAGCGTGTTTTTTTTAGAATGAAACGTTAGATTGAAACCCAGAAGTCTTACTGAAAATCAAATTTTGAGAATATAGGCCTCCTAAAAATTTATAGTTTTAATATTTTTTTTTGTATTTATTAATCCCCTCAGTTTTCACCACTATTCCTTAGAGCGAATTAAGTGAGATACTCTTGGAAACCCATAGTTTTGATCCAAAGTTGAAAAGAAGTTGTTTCTGTGGGAAACCTGAATCTGATATTATTAGAAGACGATCAGGAAACTGTATTTTTTAAATAAAATCTTGTCTACTTTCTTACTTCTTTCGCGACCTAAATTCTTTGAGAAGCTTTCAAAGTGTGATTCGTGTCATACGAAAGTTTTAGCTTTTTATACGACCGCAGTTTTTTTAATATCGCTTTTAACTAAAAACACTTATGAGATATGCATCCAAATATTTCAATAATTCAGAGATCATCGTAAGACGTTATATTTGTATAAAGATCAATCAAGAACAATACTAGCTATTCTCTCTTGTGATCCAATGCTAAAATAAATCCGTCAGAGTAATAAATAGTCCCCAAAAGCAAGCAATACCCACTGACCCGCTGAGGCAGTGGTGATATAACCCCTTTGAACTGTTTTCTATAACAACATTCTTATGTTATGCAATCCGTCTATAAAAACTTCAATCAATTTTTCATGATAGATCTAGTTCATACTCAAACCGAAAAAAGGTCAATCAATATGACGCAATATTTATGTATTTAGTATTCGGTTAAATAACAGCAATGCTTTCTTGTATCCAAAGAATTTTTATGTTCACCCAATTCAAAACGCTTAAATGCAAATAAACACATTATAAAAAGGCACTTTGTTTTGTCTGAATTTCAGTACTACCTTCCTATATTTTAATTAATATTTTTTTTCATTTTTGTTACAGCATTAATTGTGCGGTATCTAACAAGACGATACATAGGAGAATATCATTCCAATACAGGTAAAATACAGTCTTACTAATATGTTAATTATGTCTATGTTGTTAATAATAGTATATTCGATAACTTGAGTAACGAAAAAAAAATATCGTTCGGAAGTCCGCGTGAATGGATCGACGAAATGATAACCATACATCGTGGAAAAAAACTATTTCTTACGTTTATGACATACTGTTTCTTATGTTATGTACTAATGTAAACTTTGTTCGTTGACAGACCTGCTATACAGACAGACGGTACCAATCAACGGCACCCCTGTGGAGTTAGAGGTGATTGACGTCTCCGGATCAAACTCCGACAAGTTTCCAGCGGAACAGGTGTGTACTTTGTTCATACTCATACAGCTCCTTCGTTCTTTTCGAGTCCGAACTTGCCATTTTCAACATCAGACTATTTGAGGTCCCAGTAAGGGCACAGGTTTTCTCTACGGACAGAAAATGGAGACTATTGGTTATCGTGCCTCCCGAAATACAGTCCTAAGAGCTCATTCTCGAGATAAAAAAAAAACATTGACGTATATTGACGTAAGTTGCTAAGCACTGCACAATCGAGCTTATAAATGGAAACAAACAATATCTCCTTAACATGATCAACTGTAGGTACCTATTCTATTCACAGTAATTAATTTGATTGAAGTCATTATAAATATGAGAGCCAGTATACTAAAAGCTCAATAATAACCCCATTTATCACCAACCTGAATACCTATTTGCTACTCCATCCCGCAACAACATTAACTAGTTTCATTTACTCGTAAACGGTCGACCTTCGCTTTGACCAACGCTCAAAGACACGTTTAATATTTGCGTACGTAGTTGATAACTCTAAACTATATGTACTATGTATCTATTCGCAGTTTATAGCGACATTAGAAGTGTACAAGGGCAGCTTCTTTATACCTCACCAAACGCTTTCACCTTCAACGGATTATAAACAAATTTTAACAACTATGACCTTTTGCCCAAACAATAAACATCTCTCCTAAATCATCGAACGATTAAGGGTGCCGTAAAAATAGCGACAAGGCTGTTTGTAGACCGGTGGAATTTAGAACGCGCCTGTCCAATTTTTATAAACACACTAAGTATATGTATGCATTTGTAAATGTAACTAATTAAAGGTATCATTCTATTTTCAAAGTCAATCATTTTCATTTGATTCAAAGAAAAGCTAATTATAATAGTTTGTTGATCTTTCAAAATAACGAGATGTTGGTTTTAGGTCTCAGGGGTAACATATATGTTGTAGTATTAGCAGCAAGGAGCCAGGGATGTTTGTTTTAATGCAGTTTATGCCATTAATATAAACTAGCAAACCAGTGAACCAAATGTTCACCAATTTAAAAAAAAAATGTATTTAATTAATTGAGAACTTCGGAGATTTTGTGTGGGTTCGTTTGAAATTCGTGATTTCTTGAAAACCGGAAGTGCTACGTTACTCAAACCGTTACGTTACTCAAAACGTTAGTCTTATCAGACTATTCTTAACTTATAACTTAAATATTCTCTTTATCTATCTCTTACGGTTTGGCCGCTGAAACAGCACCACAGACAGACGGACGGACGAACGGACGGACTTGTCTAAAAGATAAGAGATAATTATTAGCATAACGTAACATTACAGTAGTAGCACTTAAAAAACATATTTATAAACATGATACTGATGTGTTTTTATATACCAATATATCAAACTATAGGCCGAATACTGAATATCGACATATTATTCGGCCGAATACCGAATACTTAAATAATATATTTTGTCATAGAGAAATAGTTTGTAAAATGAAAAATTAAAATCAATTAATTACGATTGATTATATAAAAGGAGAAACTATGAACTGAATGAACATTTGATTGGATACAATACACTGAATATTTAATGTAGAAAAGTCTCTAAAACAACAGTGATGTAGAATTAAATTCTGCGTCCATCAGGTTCCCATGACTTAGCAATTTGCAAACTTTGAATCCCGCTTAATATATATAAAACTATTTATACTTGAGTGGTTATTCACCCACTTATAAAAAGTACTATAAAATATAAATAAAAATAATAAATGCATTATCTTTCAACTTCGCGAAAATAATGGATTTTTTATGTTCAGCAATAGCCTATATGTTTGTCTGTGCACATCGTAAAATATAAAACTCTTAGCCACCATAAAGCGACATTAACCGTACACTGAAACGTTTTATATCCGACAACTGGGTTACTGGTCACAAATATAATATCCGTACCGTAACCTACAATTTGAATGATCAGGGCTGTCAGCTTACAATTTCTTTCAGCTGCAGAAATTATCGGTTTGCTGTTCATTCGCATTTTTTTTTTTGGCAAAATAATATATCTGGGCCTACCTTTGTCTTTTATTAACAAAATTAATATGCATAACGTATTTATTTATTTATACTTTATTGCACAAATGAGTGTTCAAGTGGCGGACTTAATGCCATTAGGCATTCTCTACTAGTCAACCGGAGAATTACCTATAGCAAAAATCTTAAGAAGGTAGTGCAAAAAGAGTTCATCAAACTACTTATTATATTATAAAGTATATGTATGGAAACAAGATAATATATATTACTATCAATTATGTATGCAAAAGTTAAGGAATATTTTACTTACCATAGCCAAACAATCTAAATATTAATGCCATCAACCAAATATATTTACATAAGGACACCTAACTTGGTATACTAAAGTAGGTTAAGAATAAAAAACAAATTTAATACGAATAATATTGTAATTCTTCTTCTGTTATTTTCAATATTGAGCTTTATTACTAACACTGCGGGCTCTCATGCTGTTGTTTTATAAGCGGAACGTACTGGCAACCCTGTTAAAGGTGCTCTAGTTCCGTGAGTCACTATGTTTACAAACATACGGAACACAGTTCCATCAGACATATACATATAATGAGTCAGCAGTCTCGATTAAATGTATTGTTCCAGTATTCATATTTTAACATCATTATGTTGCGATATTAAAAAAGTTACCAGAGTTGATAGCGTAAACTCAAATATATGTTGAAATAAGATTACGTAAAATATACTTAATATGATGTTCATGGTGTTAATATATTTTAAGCAAAAAGCATGTGTATTTATTATGATATTGAAAATCTCTAAAAACACTTTCAAATCTTTCAAGTACTCAGCAAATTTTATTTTATAACAATAGATATATAATATATAAATGCGCGTTTTAATTTTAATCATACGGTACCGTAATTACAATTACGGTACGAACCTCAAGTTCCTACACGTGTATTATACAATCTATACATAATTCACAGTAACCTATTGATATGCAAAGCTTTTATTGATCTTCCGCCCACAAAGTAATTTTACGTTCTGTGTATTGAATCTACCGTACTGAATGAAATTTGCTACATTGTTCTCGAATAAGTTTACAATAGAATAATATAGAACCCAATTAGTTTTCAATCGATTCTCTTCAGACAAACGTACGAGTAATAAATTGATAGAACTTCTGAATATAAGTATTTCAGTTTATATGATAAATAGATACGTAGGCGACTTAAAATTTAATATTCACGACGATTTATTAGGATGTAATGTAAGAAACAGCAACACGTGTGTGATTCTATAATTATCTCATCATACATTCCATTCGTAATAATTCCTTTTTGTGCGCCAATGAATTCGCGTAAATGTGTAACAACACAAGTAAATGTCACATTAATAATTTGTATCGAAAAATTTGTTTCTCATCTTGCGTAGAACGCTTGTGGGAGAATCAATTATTTCGCCATTTTTCAAAGACTTTGACAGTTCGCAAATCAGAATGTGTCTCGTGCGTGGGCGTTGGCGGCTGCGCTAATTTTAACGGGCGGAATGTTGGCTTCGTTGCTCATCCATCACAAGCATTCTTCTCTGTCTAGTCTTGAGGTCTTTAATGAGCATCCTGTTGCTGTTCCAAGAAAATATAGTAAAGGATATGCGTATATCCCTATAGTAGTAAAACTTTAGAGATTTAAGCTCCACCTTTCAACGTAAAATAGTGATTAAAATGGAAGCTAGAGGCCAACATAGGATATGACTTCTATTTTGTTCTTAAAGTCTTCAACGGACAAGAGACCGTTGCAGGCGATGGATTGGTTAATAATCTGCCACTTTTGTTTCCTAACGATAAGTAATTTTACTGAATTTCCACACCTACCTACTCAAAGTAGACATGGAATTCCTTTACGAATTTTATAAAAAATGCCCTCTAAGTGCCCTCTAGCATAAATTTTAATTTTTATCTAAGTGCCTCGTCATCGGTTAGCACACAATCTCAAGCAAACAGAATTCAAACTTTTAGTAAGAGATTCTGAAAATAGAAAGTGGCTATAATTACTACAGTTCTTGGCTACAGTTTAACGTTTGAAGAAAAAAAACACCTTTTACTAATCTGTCGTGATGCCAACAAAGTTTTATTGGTGAAAATATAATGAGTTTCCCTTATGCGTTGGACGATGGTTATTATGGTGATGTTTTGGTAATTAACTGTTAACAATTATGTTGAAACTGATTTTATTTATTAGCATTGAAGAATAAGTCACAATATGATGACGTAAAAACTGCTTGTACGTTTAACTATATGTTTAATTTTGGCGTTGTTTTTTTTAAGAAAGCACAAATATGTATTTGTGACTTATTCTTCAATGCTAATAAATAAAATCAGTTTCAACATAATTGTTAACAGTTAATTACCAAAACATCACCATACGTACGAAACTTCATTTCTTCACTAGACGAACGCTTTAATCGAGTGAAAAACCGCCGTACCCCTGTTTTTAAACTGCGGCTAACATTCTTGCCGATTCGATTTTGTTAATTCTGCCGTCTTTTTTTTATCAATTTTGTCGTCTTTTGTTTCAGATACAATGGGCAGACGCCTGCCTCCTAGTGTACGCGGTGACAGACCGCAGTAGTTTCGAGTACGCCACTGAAGTGCTGAGCGCCCTCAAACGCGCCCCATGCAATGGTAGCCCCGCCCACGGAGTAGCTGGCTCATCCACGGGGATGCCCCTTGCTCTGCTGGGGAACAAGACAGATCTGGACCACCTTAGACAGGTTAGTTCGAAGCCACCAGCCAACCAGTATTTACCCCTACACATCCCCTAAATGTAGCATATTGAGTTTCACCGCAATCTATGATTTATCATCCTAGAAGAAGCATTACTTAGGTATATGTATGTACAATAAAAATTAAACCTTGTCCCTTATTGCAAAGTGAAGTACGAGGCATAAACCTTAGTAATTGAAAACAAACTACACAAAAAAAATGAGCTCATTATGAAGCCAAACATATTCATGGGGTGTTCAGATGCGAGACGTGTACTCATCTAATCATGGGTGATTAGATGAGTACAAGACCTTGTTCTATCGTGCATTAAGTCCAGGTGACCTTGTTCAAAGATAGCCCTTTCATTCATCGTCAGTTAATGTTTCCGTTGATCTTTCAATGGAGTGAATCAATATTTAGCATTCAATGACGTCACATTGATTTATTGCAGTTATATAACGCTCCCTACTCGCTAATTATAACGACAGTCCATGATTGAAAGATTCGACTACAAACAAACCCATTGAACGTTTCAGTGTTTTGTGGAAATTGGAAATACACACGGCGTGTTATTGCATAATATAGCTTAGCAATTTATATTTCCTTTGTTTTGCTCATATGTTTTGCGGAAAGGTAATAAATAATACACTCACGCCAAATTTATAAAGTGAATGCGAATCGAATAAACTTATTACTGATATTTAAAGTGTTCAATTCCCTTAAACGAAAAAGTAGGCAAAGCATCCTAGAAGCTCCTTCTTCAACTAAGTTTTGATAACTCAAGGACACGGCCGTCGTCGCATGACAATATGCTTTGTATAACTTACCGTAGTCGGGACAAAACATAGCCTCTGTCTGATATGAGAACAGACAGCTAGCAACTTGAACAATACGCCGCATGAGGATCTATTAGAACGCTCGCTTGGAACGTTTGCTCGAAACGAACGAGTCGTTTCATGTGACAAAAGCTTTGTCCTACTTCCGTTTGATAACAGGAACAAAAGAGACTTTATAGTTCCACTTCATCGTAGGCATTATTTTTTTTAACTAAAATTATTCTTTACCAGTCTTTTATATTAAACTGAAATACCGAAGTTATATGGTTTGATTGTTGCCTACCCTTGCATTTTCTACTAAATGGAGCTCTTTTGATCTTTACTAGGTTTAACAAGTTTCGACGGTATGCGTCGTCTAAATTATGATTTTATTTACTTTGTCGAGCTATCTTCGTAGGTACAGGTACAGGTAGGTACAGGTCCTGAAAAGGATGCGAAACGTTAATAAATAAATAAATGAGTGGTGTGCGTGAAAACCTAAGAAACAAAAAAATACTTACTAGGTTTTCTTCGCGATAAAACAACCCCAAATTGAACGGAAAACCTTTTATGCCCTGAATTATTTACAAAATACAGTAATGTTTCTAAAATGCACGAAAGATTTCATTGTATTATTGTTTACAGGTGAGTATGAAGGAAGGGCAGACTGTGAGCGCAGCCCACGGCGCTTCTTTCAGCGAGGCGAGCGTGGCGGACAACTCGGGCGACCTCTACCGGTGCGTGGACCGGCTGCTCGCGGAGGTGCGCACGCCGCAACGCACACGCAAGTTCTCCGTCACCAAGATGCTGGGATCACTAATTGGTGTGTGATAACATCTTTAACACTAACTTTGATAATCTTTTATTCAGACTAAACTATTACAAACACCTGTCGCTTATCGACAGTATATCTATAGTTATTGGACTTTTGTTAATATAAGAGAAACATAATGTCGAAATAAGTGGTGAAGGTTAAGGATTATTCGTGAAACCATGGTTGGAAACCTTAATATGAGACTTCATGTCGTTATCTACCAATAAGCATTTAGTATAGTTAGTTCTTAATTTCTCTTAATCATTGTAAATAAGGGTAGCTACACACATAAGCGGGCCGGTATTAATCGGCACAGCTGGGCGGTAAAATCGAATATAGTAGATGAATGTTCGGCAATAATTACTACGGATCGGCATTATTGTTCGACAAATATTGCTGAACCGACTACGCCGGCCCGATTATGTGTGTTACTACCATGACTGAGATTTTTTACCTTTTCGAAAAGAAATCGTCAAAGTCAAATACTTATTATTAGTTATTTTTGACGACCTCCGTGGTCGAGTGGTTTGTACGCCGGGTTTCATAGTATCACCGACTCGAGAGGTCCCGGGTTCGAATCCCGGTGGGGGCAGATGTTTGTGTGATGAATACGAGCTTTTGTACTCCAGTCATGGATGCTTAATATGTATTTTCTATATAAATATACATATATATGTACTGTATATGTATTCTATCTGTTACCCTAGTATCCCATAACACAAGCCTTACAGTGCTTATTTTGGGGCTAGGCTAATTGGTGTGAGTGTTGGAAATATTTATTTATTATATTATTATTCTTTTATTTATAGGCGGAGCAGCAAACAATAGCCAAGCAAGCCGAAGCGGGTCAGTGGTGGCATGCCCGCGCGTACCGGCGCCGTCGCGACCCCCGCTCGCGGCAGCGGCACCCTGACCGGCGTCGGCGCCCGCGCACCGCGCGCGCTGATGCCTCGCCGGCGCCGGCGCGGTGTGGCTTGCCTGCCTACCCGTACCCGCGCGGTTCGCCGCGCCCACACCGCTCTCTGCCGCCATCTGAAAACTAAAGATCTCTTATACGGATACACTAGTAGGAAAACATTGGGAATTTGATGAGGGTTTTGTCCCCAGATGTCGGGAACGAAATGCAAAACTGGCCCCATAAAGTAGTTCTATGCCTTTGAATCAATTATTGAATTATAGCTGCATTTTTTTTATACGAACAAAAGGCATTTGTTTAAGATATGAAGGTACATTTCTAATGATATGTAATTAATAATCGTGTTCAATATTTAGCGAGTATCAAAGCTTTAAGAATAAACATTCAGATGGAGGCCAAGTGTTAAAATAACTGGGGACAGAATCGAAATCAACATTAACAGTCAAATTCCTCATTCCTGCATTCCGTTCTGGCTGATGTTGACATAATTTATTAATGATTTAAAATGGTCTCTAACCAAAGAAATCCTAGTCTATAAGTCATAATTACGTATATGATTCCAGCTTCGATGTTGCCTGCACATGTTTAATAGATTTTGAATGAATATTGGTTGGTTTGTGAAATATTTAGTGGTTGAGTAAAACTTTGACAATAATTGTACTGTACGCGTCTGTTGTGTTAAAATATACCGATTTCATATAACAAGATACGTTTATTTAAATTATGTATGAATGTGCCAAAGATTTTAATGTGTTTGTAATTCAAAGAAATTTATATGTGGTTAAATTAAACTAAATATCTCTCAGTCCACTCAAAGTAATATAAACTCATACTGTATATATTGAAATGTTCGGAAATTGGCTCTCCATAGCTATCTAGTCATAAGAAATTTATAATACAAAAATTATGTTTGTATAGGCTGAAGATTGGATTCTGTTCGAAAGTTGACAAATTATATTGCTATTAATCAAATGGCCTAAAGTTTACTATATGTCGATTTTCTACTTTTACACAGTATTATTAAATTAAGTCTCCAATAGGTTAGGTGTTACTTAATAATAAAAGCTCTGTGAACATAATTTTTGTTATAGCCAATTTGGTCATTGTAAATATATCATCGAATTCCCCAAGACTTACATGGATATTATCGAATTCTAATCTAAAATGATACTTATTTGTTAAACTTATAATTACCGTTACTGATAAAAATTACTTACTGTTTCATAACTTTGATGTTAACTCTAAATAGAAATATTCTAATGATATAATAGCTCAGAATAATAAACCTTGTATTTAAATTTCAATCAACTATAAATTTCTATGTGTAGCGAAGTAAATATTTGATCTACAAACAAAATATTTAAAATGGTTGTTGTACTTCGAATGAACTTTTAGTTATCTTCTAGTCATAGGATAAGGGCTGTGAGCTGGTCACTGGATAGTTCGAAGAACACAAACGTTTTGGAATAATGCATAAAAAAGCGAATTATGCTGAAGCGAAACCATATTTAAAAATGTTACTGTAAACAAAAATACATTAGCCTTTTAGGTTCATTTTAAATTAGAAAGAAAATAGACTTAGAAGATTTAGAAAAATCAAATCAATACCTACTCAAACAAATTTGCTTTTTAGTATAAAACTGGATACATTTTGCATTGTAAAACTGTTGCATTGTAATGTAAAATTGTCTAACCCATATAGATTTTAATAATGCTGTTTTTTTTTGTACCGATTATATGTACAAAGTACACATTTATATGATTAAAACTTGTAGGTAAATGCTACAATTTATGTATCGGAAAGGGGAAAGAGTGAATGAAATAATATTATGCTATTAGCATTGACAGGAAAGTGGTTCAACAAAAAATATCAACAAAATATTTTTATGACTTTCCTTAACTGAAACGCTTGCCTTTACAAAAAAGCAAACAGTGATTATAATCGCTTGTAACTCTTATAAAAAAGATGTTATGCAGACTAAATTGAAGTCGGAACTGATTGGGATAAGTTGTAAATAAATTTGAATTGACTAGCTTTAATATGATTAAATTAAATATTTCTTAATATAAATAAAAATGCGTTTTCATTTTCGAGACCTAACCTATCTACTACTTATATTAAAAATTACTTTCATCATGTGTTCAACAGTACTTAATTTTATCAGCATGAACTTATTATTTCCTTAAAAGAAATTATGAAATGAAAGCTTTGTGTGATAAATAAATAAGTGGGAAATGCAAAAAAATCAACCACAGAAGTCTTTAATTTTGCTAAAGAAAATACACACAATAAGAGTTACATCTTTCAATTGTCAATATTCCTTTAAAAGCTTATTTCTAGCTGATTTGGTCATGCGGCAGAAAACTCTGAGGCAAAGGCATTTTAAGTATGGAACATGAAGATTGGGTCATGACACACCACGTGGGCCTGATTGGTGGGAGCTAACGACTAAAGATGGTGCCGGGAACAACGGTTTAACGAGACTTCCGAAGCACGGAAGAGCTCCAGATAGTAATTTTTTGGTCACGCATCCAATAACCGACGACTGTAAAAAGAGATTGCTCAGCTTCCATACATGTTTGGCCTAAAGACCAATAATCATGAAAAATTGTTTCCTAGATTCGAAATTATATATAAATTACTGTAGAAACGAATATTATTGACGGACACCCCTGAGAACTTCTATAAACCATATACACTGAACATATTAAAATAATAAAAACAAATAAGTTATATAGTAAACTAGGGAAATCAAGCCAAGTACCGAAATTATGGATTAGATTCAGGAGCAATCTCCTTTGCTTAACTTTCACGATCGCAAACCGAATGCGCTAACCTCCTGCGCTATCAAGCTCCTAGAGTAACTATACCTCAGTATTAATCCTAAAGAGATCGACCGGATTTTCAAAAATCTCAGGATTTCTTGGATATATATAGATTTTTAGTTCCTTTCGCTGGATTGCGATGACCACATCGATAGTGAAGGAGGGGTGGATAGTAGGGGCAGATTGATGGTATGGTAGATGGATGGCAGGGATAGATGGACCTGTGTGCACCACTGCCGGTTTGCGACGAGCTGTATATGAGCATCAAAAATTGTCATAGTGACCTTAGAATCGTCATCTTATTGTTAACGCAAACAATTAACAGCATATACGTTCTAACTTATCCTCTGTTTCTATATTTGTTCTGTGTGTCAGAAACTTGTGTAGTTTTTATTGCCGCAATAGGAACAAATAAAAAAACAAAACAATAAAATTAAGCCAACCAAATTAATAAAGGTGGTCTCCCTGGATAAATAAAAAATTGCCATGGCAGTTTGTCAAAGTTGCAGTGACTCCATTTCAAGTGTTATAAAGCTTCTACGATGGTACAGAAACCGTCATGGAAGTTTTATTGATACTGCTTTTGATACGGGTCGTTACGTTTTTTTTTTATGTTTATGCAGGTAAACTAGCTGACAGTCCATCTGATCGTAAGTCCCCATTTACACTTGCAGCACCGCAGGGTACAACTCATGCGTTGCTGGCGCTGAAGAAAAAGGTTAACCCGCCTTTTAAGGTCCTCCATAATAACTAAGAAGAAAAACCGCTGAGGAAAATTCGATTCAGATCTTGCTGGTACACAAGAAAAAGTAAAGCGCGTGACGCATGGTGCTACAACGTCAAGCGTCCTGATGGTGAGGGTGAAGATCAGATTGAATAATTCCTCCCTCCGATTCCGTCAGCCTAGGCACGTCTTAGAGTACCCCGACGACGAAATCACCCGCGCCAACGCGTCCCGATTCGTCCCACACAGGCCACAAACACCAACACTACAGAGCTAGCAAGCTTAGCATTAGGCAGGCACCGCACCCGCAGGATAAGAGTGCGAAGACCAGGCCTACACACGACACGCTATACCAGATACAGGTACGTACTTGGGCGTTTTTCCCCGCCCCCCACGACAACGGCTAACTAGAGCCAAGGTCCGAGTCTCAGAGACGCCCTCTAGTTGAGCCGACCCCCTCAGGTTCGATTATTCTAGAGGCTCAAGACGGAGAGGAGCCTTCTCGGTGCCATCCGCCTGGAATCCCTCTAGAAGCACTCGCCAATTCTCAGCTTGAGGTGCCTTAGAATCTCGCCGTCCCCAAACATATAATAATAATTCCTCGGATTCGAATATCCAGTGATTAAGCTCGGTACCTACTCACTTTTCAATGTATAATAATGGTGGTAGGAGAAGTAAATTAGGTATGCTTAATCCTTTCATAAAATCAGAATATATCTTTAAAATCAGAATGGATTATTCGGCTAATCCTTGCGCACGGTCATAATATTTTATTTACCATTGAACAAAACTATATGTTGCATTTCTAAATATATTTTTCCTTAAACCCCAAACAGTAAACACGGGATCTCCATTATATACGGTTGAAGTGCAGATTGATTTATGCGATCAATATTCCATGACGAACGATCATGTTTACACACAAACGACTAACCCAATTGTCTACAAATATATCTCAGGATATTAAATTTAAAGCCAAACCTGAATAATTTAAAAAGACGTACGGTATCTTTATCTAAATGTATCCAAATTGTCTGAAATTGAGTGACCACGGGAATCCCCGCTCGAATTGGAACACCCGGGAAAGTAGCCTCTACCTTACAAAGACCTCAGAAATAAACATAACTTTATGGTGGTTTTGTGTTTCTGTCAGTGAGTAAGGTTCCAGGTGCTGCACGGGGAATAGCGGGAGGCGTGCTTAAAACGCCAACCCACATGATTAAGATGTAGATGATAGGGTGTCACAGTAATTTTGGGCGTATATATGAACCTACGTGTTATTTATATGTTGCGGTGCCTCGTAAATCCGCGATTACACTGCTTATGACGGTTTTAATTAGAGCTGCCTTCCCCTCTCCCTCTCTTTTCTCTCTCCTCTAAACCCCTCTCTTATGTATACCAGCCGATAAACTGCCTCAATAGCTTGCGATTCCAACAGAAAATTGAAGTCTTGCTTTTCAACAACAAGTTTCAAGGCTTTTTGCAATATTCTCAAATATCATATTCTTAGCAATAGCGGCAGCGCGAGTGATATTTTTGGTATCACTAGTATCTAAAGGCTATGGTGGCCGCTTACAGGCGGGACAAACGTTTGTTTGCCACCCTTTTAACATAACAAAAACAAGTGTCTGTAGTATACTAACTTATTTACTACTATAATGATTCGCCCTCGCTTCGCTTCGGCGGAGAGTATGGTTTTTGTTTTTGCGCTTTTCTCAGACGTATATACGTAAAGATTCCATGTTCTTTTTTATTATCAAACTGATGGTGAAATCCGCATCTAAATCAGGTGTTTGGTTTAGAAAACGATATCAGATAAACATAAAGTCGCAAAAAGCGACTTTAATTCAAATATTCAAAATTTTTAAGTCTCCTATGCCAGCGTAAACATGAAAAAATTACACAAATTACTTGAATTATCTGTTCTATTTGTCAACTGCTTCACTTCACTTCGCTTTTAAGACAAGGAGGCGGGCAATTTGTGAGATTTTCCGCCTGAATTGAAGCTCGTGCGACCCAGTTTTCTGCGGCAACTAAGTATCATAACAACTGGACTTGCTTTAAGTTCAGGTGGAGTAATGTTATTTTATGGAAGTTGTATAAAAAACCCAAAAATCCGGTAACATCGTACAAGGCAACATTTGAAATAATAGGTACCTACTAAAACTAAAACCGAGCAACCAGGCATAATATTGTTATATTTGGTATATGTATAATTCTTATTCATATTTACAATTCATAACGTAAATGTAAATAATAATACTAATTTTAATAACATAAATCATAATTAAAAAAATGGATTTCTTATAATATTTCAGAACGCGATAAAATATTTATTTTTCACAAATATTATAACACAATGCAATCAAGAATCGATCGAAACAATAATCGTCGCAGTGATTCGTAGTTCGTTTATGTACAATGTGAAACCTATCCCAATTGCATCTCGAACAATGGTCTCAGATGAGGGGTGCGCGCCCCAGCTGCGTGCTCCGATCGATCTGTGGACCGCGTCTCCTCTCATTACTGCCCGCGTTGTCCGTCAACGCGGAGCCGAACACGCGCCATTTCAAACATCGAAACAGATAAAAATAACTTTAAAAAGTTTTCGTGAAAAAAGTTTGGATGTGATTTTTTAAAAATGGAAGGGCGAAGGTCCTGGGATGGAATGCCGCTCGGAGAGTCCCATTCCCCACCGCAGTCGGTGCCGGGTAGAAGGACTCCTTTGGGTGCCGTGGGGCTCGGTGGGTTCTACATGCAGGGTGGACAGCCACCAGCGCCACCACAGCACTGCTACCCCACCGACGAGAATCAACCTGAGCCCGGCACCAGCTATGGACAGAGGTTAGTTTTCTTAAAACCTCCTTTTAAACAACCATAATCCATTAGATTTTGGGGTAGGAAGCGCCCTGGCGAAGTATCTAAGTGTGATATAGTCTAATATAACAATTTAGTTCGATAACATTTGAATTTACTCGATATTTGCATAACGTCGATTGTTGTGATCATATGTTATTTCGCGCATGCGTTGTTGGGCTGCGCGGCAATGTTCTTTATTTTGGTGGTGTACTTTTTGAATTTGTAACTTGTATTATACCTACTGGTAAAAATTGTTTTATGCAATGTTGGCACTTTTTTATACTTAGGTATTTTTCTTTTATTTGAAATGATATTATAACACTAATTGTTTTTTTTTATGTAGGATGTAGGTACGTTTTATACTTTTATACAATAGAAGAATAAAAAGTCAAAGTTAATTACTCAACTAATTCACTAATTAGCTGTCAATTACGAATGTTTCACACAGTAACTATTTCCGGGACGCTATTTTCAGACTGAACTACTAAGAAGTAGGTAAGAGTATTTTAGTTTCATGAATGTTCATAAGATTAAATATGAATAAATGCATTTGGATTCAATTAAGAATAACCAAAAATATAAGCAATTCACGTGTTTATATTAAATATTTAATTACTTTATTTATTTGTAAAATTTCAAAAAGTAATAAAAAACAAAACAAAAATCTTCATTTGTTCATCTTATTTCGTTTTCGTTACTCCTTATTTTGGTGAATAAACATAAGAATGTTTGTCGCTTAATAGCTATCTAAAAGTATGACTACAAGTACTAACATTGAGCATAATCCAAAATGCACACATGTTGGTGGAATCAGTCAATAATAGACGCATAAAGAGCACCATCTGTGCTTCTAACCTAGCACCCCTAACAAGGGCTCGATTTGACCGCGATTTCTATTGCATTTTTAAATACATAGTCATAGTAAAAAGTACACTTGATATTGTTTAATTTTATTTGATAAGAAGGGATTTTATTAATCTGACATAAGTACCACCCATTAGTTATGTTAGTAATTAATAATTACAGTATTTTTATAATTTTGCAGTTGTGCATGTCACTCCCATATAACCTGCCGTAAAAATAAATTTTAAAATAGATTTATTTGCGGAAATATAACCTAAATCGTTGTTGTCTTAATTCATTAGTACAATTTTCAGGTAACTCAAAATTCACGGTATATACTAAAACTAATACACCTACACAATGTAAATCTTGGTTTCAATAAAAAAATAGTAAATTACTTCCGAACCGCCATAACCATAAGCAACACACAAGCTTGACTGAATCTGTTGCCAGTTCTTCCAGAATAGTTTGGAAAATTACTACATCAAATATGATCAAAAGCATGGTATGGCTGCCAACGATTGTTGTTTTGAATCTGACATATTCCATCAACAAGTGATAAGGATCTTCCAGCTTATGATAGACATGACACAGTTTTAGAGATTTCTTCAATACCTTCTTTAAAAGAAAACAAAGCATTAAACGCAATACTACGCTCGATACAAAAAAATAACATCCCATGCAAGACTGAAAGAGAAAATAAAACAGAATACGCTTTCTGTAAAATATTTCTGTATTAATAATAAAATATTATTAATGGACTGACTATATAGTACCTATTGAAAATATTGTAGGCGACGGGATCACACCCTGTCACTATAATGATAATTCAACTTGTCTCGGTACGAGTATTACCTATTAACGAATAGACTGCGAAGATACGATTTTTTACGATGATGAAATTTGCAATTTTTTAATGTAATTATTTGAGAAAAAAAAATATTTCAATCGACTTCTAAAAAGCTATCAGCTATATATACCTTCCATAAGAACCAACTCACTTTTCATTGCGCATTCCGCCGGTGTGATTGAAATTTATTTGAATTTTGTATTCTAATTATTTCAAATTATACCGCGGATTCCGCGGTGACAAGTGAATTTGTTCGTACAGAATAGCACTGCAGGACATCTTCTAGCTGACATGAAAAACGGGTGAGAGAAACTTCAATCTAAAGATTGTATCTACAGATTCTATAATCGATTTTTTAAATACTTCAGGTAAAAATGCTCTTTTGAGAAAAAGGGAAAATTTTACTCGTGAAGGAATACGTGTATGTTGTATATGCCCCTATTATAGTTTACTATAATAGGGGCATTTTTACCTGAAGTATTTAAAAAATCGATTATAGAATCTGTAGGACTAGGAGGCAATTTATTATAAAACCTATAGTTTTCCCAACATTAAGATTTGTGTATTTCCCAATCTACACATCATGCAGGCAAAATAAAACTTCCTTTTAAAGACAGTTTTTCTTGATGTTTATTGGTCTATGGCAACTGCCACCCCATTCGTCGGTAGTTAACGGGGACATTGAATCCGGGCCATTGTTTGCGCTGAAGAGTTATTTGGCACTTGCCACGCTTCGCGGCGCCCGTACCCTTGTCTAATCGAAAACATGGGGCTGGGGATAAACTGTACACAGTCTCGCTTAGTGCACTGTATGGACTACATTTCAGACAACACGTTATATCAAGTGGGAAAGTAAATAATAAGTAACTCCTGATGAAAATTGATTTAGTACTTGCTGTCGAAGTCCTCATAAAATATAAGAAATGTTGAATATTCTCTTCTTGCTATGTTAGGGTTAGGTTAGGAGTCATCCTTATCCAGGGGGTAGCGATAGCCTCCTCTGTCAGTCCGTCTATCAGCGGGCTGCAGTTGATCTTATGAATATAATAAGTAGAAAACTGTTTTATTAGATAGTGTATGCCTGTGGCCGCTACAAATCAGAACTTAATAGAAGAAATAGCAATTGTAGTTATGTTTTTATTTTTAAGCATTTAACTGTTACCTACAATGCGAAGAGGCCTTGCAGCCTAAGAAAAAAACAGAAAATTCGACACGGCCATTGGGGCCGCGGTAGCATAATGGTAAGTGCATACGCCCGGATAGCAGGGGGAAGTGGATTCGAGTCACGTCTGCTGCCTGGCCCGCGAGGATTTCTTCTAGTATTTTTTTTTTAGTTTTAAACATCTAACAGTTAAATGCTTAAAAAATAAAAACATAACAATAATTATATTCTAAACCCAGAAGGTTATATAAACAAACAGATTTTATTTTACTACTTTGTGGCTGTGATATAAGTATATCCTGTAAAATTCAGCTTTCTAGTGTGAATAATCTCTAAGCTAAGTGAGGAGGAAAGGCGAGCGAACAAACTGACAGACAGAGCTCAACTACAGGGTTTCTTGTTAACTCGAATCCCTAAATAATTAAGTAAATATTTCCAACACTCACACCAGTCATGGCCTAGCCCCAAAGTAAGCGCTTTAAGGCTTGTGTAATGGGATACTAGGGTAACGGATTGAATACATATACCTATAGAAATACATATTTAACATCCATGACTAGAGTGCAAATGCTCGTATTCATCACACAAACATCTGCCCTCACCGGGATTCGAACCCGGGACCTCTCAAGTCGGCGATACCATGAAACCCGGCTTACAAACCACTCGACCACGGAGGTCGTCAAATATAAATATTCAAATCGGCCCAGGTTCCAAAGCAGAAGTGACATAACTAGCGGTATACCTCTTGGTAGACATAAAACGGCATTTTCCCTTTAAAGTTATAATCGATTGTTGCCCTGATAGCTATGCGTTCTGACTATTTCAGATCAATGGGTGAAGGCAAATCGAAACAGAAGATGCGACAAGGGAAAACAGTGCGGCTCAACATCAACGCACGGGAACGGCGGAGGATGCATGATCTGGTAAATGATATTACTTAGAATGTCTATGTTATGCAATGGAAGGTGACTTCACAATTATCTCTGAAGTCATTTTTCAACTTGATGACTCTGTCACCACCATCATCATCATCATCATCATCAGCCTATTAATGTCCCCATTGCTGGGGCACAGGCCTTCCCTATGGATGGAATAGAGAGATTGGCCATGACCCACCACGCGGGCCCAGTGCGGATTAGTGGGTGCTAACGGCTGCAGATGCAGCTGGGAACAACGGCTTAACGTGCCTTCCGAAGCACGGTGGAGCTCGAGATAGTAAATTTTTGGTCACCCATTCAATGACCGACCACTGCGACAGTTGTTTAACTTCAACGATCGCAGCCAAACGCGCTAACCACCCGCGTCATCGAGCTACTCGACACATCCGATTTCGGTAGCTTACATTTTAGACAATAATTTGATATGCATTACGCCAATACACGGCAAAATGACGCTATCTCTATAGAAGCAGCCAGTAGTTCATATTTGATATAATATGTCAGAAATCCGAATATATAAGATCGTGTGGGAGATTGCATCTAGCAGAATACCAATGCAGGTGGTGGAAATAAATTGGGGGCGTGGCGTGCTAATTATAAAAATTAAATTAACTTCGGATTGTTTGATAGCCAATAGAGGTTAATATTGCTTTAAACTTTTAAGGTCAGATAACATTATAGCATGTATAGTTACTCCGTGATCATGGCGCTTGCAACAGTGACGAAATATCGGAGACTCATAGAAAACAAGGTAAATGATAACAATCCCGTTAATAGCCATAATGGAGGTTAAATCCTTGAATTGTTTCAATTTCAGAACGACGCGTTGGATGAGCTTCGTGGTGTGATCCCGTACGCGCATTCGCCTTCGGTCCGCAAACTCTCCAAGATAGCTACGCTACTGCTCGCTAAGAACTACATACTAATGCAAGCCAGCGCTCTGGAGGAGCTACGAAGGTAATAACAAAATAAGAGACGCGATGCAAATTTTAAAATATTAATAATAAGGTCCTTTCCTCGGCTGGGAATCGATCCCCCCGGGCCGCCCGAGTAGCAGGCGAGCGTATCCCCGGTCTGATATACGAGGAGACTCGCGGTGTTTTGAAGGTATTCCTTGAGAACGTCATCCGCGACGCTGTGACATACACGTCATAAGCGTCAAGGTCGCACCCTTTACTACGGTTTCGGGGGTTAAATCTGTTGTTGACAACATCAACGATAGCACCCCAGCCGCAGTTGTGCACAGTAGCGTGCACAATTCAACACGCACACAAAAGGCCCTTTTCAGGGCCGCAAAAGATTCTTATATAAACGTTGCACAAAGTTGCGATGACGCATTTACTACTTACTAATGCAAGCCAGCGCTCTACAGGAGCTACGAAGGTAATAACAAAATAAAAGACGCGAATTTAAAAATATTAATAAAAGGTCCTTTTCTCGGCTGGGAATCGAATCCGGGCCGCCCGAGTAGCAGGTAAGCTTACCACCACTGAACCACCGATGCTTGTTGATAAGGTCTGATTTTTTTAATAACAATTGGAAATATAATGTGACACGCTAGAAATGAATGAAAAAAATGAGTCGATGAAAATAGAAGTTTCACTTTATGTTCTAAGATCCGAACCTATGTACATCCACCCTCGTCGAGCTGATAAAAGAATGAAACATATTTTATGATGAATTTAGTATATTAGAAAATATATTAAAAATAGGTTACCTAAAAAATCCTGTATGACTATTTTGAATTATTTAAAAAAAATATAGTGATATGTTGCAACATCAAGATCATAACAAAATGATGTTCTAAAAACAGTATAAATATAAGTAGTAGTGTTTTCTTATTATCAAGATAATAGTACGGTATATGATACAATTTTGTTTTAATAAATTTTTTTTCAATAATTAAAAATAATCTGTCCAGGATTTTTTAGGCCACCCATTTTTAATATATTTTATAATATAGTAAAATCATGATAAAAAATGTTTCATTGTATTATCAGCTCGGTGGGGATCGATGTAGGTTCGGATCTTCTACTATTAAATATTTAGTTCATTCACCCGGACAACGGAAGTCGCGGGTTTGAGTCCTGTCTGAAACCTTGACCGAGTAAAAGTTACTCTAGTAAAAAAAATCTTTAGTTTTATAAACCGAGTAGATTAATGCCTAAAATAAAAAAATATACTAATTTAATGAAAAATAAATGATACAACAGATATAAGTATGATGAAGGGTTTAGCATAAACAAGGAAATTTTATTGGTTGCATCATGACAATGTATACGGAAAGTAGAGGAAACTTTGTTCATTCCATTTCTATATTTATCTCGATCTTTACCGTGTGATATCGCGGACTATCTCGACCCGCAGGGGCCAAACACGGATCGTTTACTCAAAAACATTTTACAACTTAAACAAAGAAATAAAGACTCATAGTTTATCGAGATTCATAACCTGCGATTACATTGATACTCGATTGGATGTAAGAGGCAAATACATAAATATTGCGTTCCTCCCACCATTTCCCTATAACACTCAAGTGCGGCCACAGAAATCTTATACGTCATATCATATACAAACCTTCACCATTCTTGAACTTCAAATAATATGTAAAGGTCCTTTGCCTTGAAAAGAATGATACAGAATCATGAAAGTTGGAAAGATTGAAAATAACATCTACAGCTTTCCTATAGCTCCTCAAAGACGCCACATTTTTTCTCGGCCGAGTCTCATGTGTTGTCCGGTAACCTGTAGTTACAGGTGAAGAACTAATCACCTACAATAGTTTCCGAATATGAGCTTTGCTCTGTGATCGGGAAAATTAGCAATTGGCTATATATTACGTTCGCACCCCCACTAGATGGTGGGCAAAGAATGTGATGAGAAAACCTCAAAATCGCGTTCTATTCCAGGTTAGTCGCGTACCTCCAAGGCACGGCGACGGCGGCGGGCATAGTGCCGCCCCCCGGGTTCGACCTGGCGGGCTTCCCGGCGGCCGCGAAGCTGCTGCAGCCGCCCGCACCCGGCCCACCCCCGCCCCCCGAGCCGCCCTCCTGAGAACCACAGATCAAAACAGAACCATAGGTACTCTACGGAAAGAAAAAAAAACAAATCGTAGGTGGATCTCCACGGAATGAAAAAAAAAACAAAAGTTAATTCGTAAATTAAAAATCAGCATTTATTGTTGTTTCTGATATGAATCTTTTGTTTGCAGTTCAGCTTTCTTTGACACTCTAATTGAGCTTTAATATAGTAGCGAATAAAAAAAAACTAAAAAAATGTATAACGCAACATTCATACCTTTTTCTGGTTTTTGTAGCATTAATTCGCGCAGTTAAGCTTTTTTTAAGCATGTGATTAAGATTTTTCACTAGTCGTATTAAATGAAATCTGACGCGCTAGTGTTGTTTATGAGAACAGCGAGGGCTTATTTTAAAAATGTCTGCGAAAAATCTTATATTAGAAAATAATATCTGGCAAGACAAACAACAGATCCGACTTGAAGTTCTGCATAATAAAATGCACTCATTCCACAACCAAAGAGAATTGAGATAAGTGTAATGTGCAGAGTAAAATAGTTACCATTCACTACGTATAAAATGTAAGAGGTTTTTCTGAAATGTCCACAAAAGTTACAATCCTCGTTTAGGTATAACTTTCTTTTTAACTCACTCCTAACAGCTGACATCAGTGAAAGCACATGTAGTATTAACTATTAGTAAACTTAATTGTGATATAAACACTCCTGACACATTCAATGGAATGCGTGGTTACGTGCAGAACTCTACTTGTAGTGGCGTAGTGTACTACGCCTACCTTGACAGTTGACAGATCTGTAATCGTATCAAAATCGTTAAATTTTGCATGGAAGTGGCCAGTTTGTTCTTACGTCCAGTAGGGGCGCAGCTTAGTTTGCATAGAAACTTTGACGATGCGATACGGTTACGGAACTGTCAAAGTTCATGCTTGGGACTCTATTGTTGTTGTTCGCAAAAGTTGGTACTCCGTTTCATTATAACTTAGCATCAGAAAACAGTCATTTGTTTTAAAGTTAACTGTAAAAAGAAAAACTCAAACCCCTTTAATAATAAATGAAGACTAAACTTGGATTAGTTACTCTAAATATTGTCTCTGTTCATTGAATGAATAAATTGGCACTTGTGTGATAAAAACAAAACACGGCGTAACTAGTCTAAGCTTATTTCTCGTTTATTATTAAGAGGGTATTCGTTTTAAATTACAATCTTTTATACACTAACGTAAAATATAAAATTAGATTATAAAACTGGAATAACTGCGAAATAATTAAAAATAGATTAGAATTATTATAATGATGATTTTGTATGCGTGTTAGATAGAGCATTCGTTAGAATGTCTCCCTCGGCAAGGGTATACCAAAGAAATTAGAATACTTATATTATTATTTTCTAAGTAAATGTGTGCAATTATAATAAGTAACAATCTAAAGCAGGATCGATTATGAATAGGGTAAGAAATTAGATTTTAAGAAGAGTTAGTCGAATAGACGTTGTATTTAGTCGAATTAGGAGGATACACCAATTAGTCTTTACCTTTATATTTCATTTCATTACCATAACCTGACAAGCCGTTAAGCTGCGTTAGTAAGTACGGTTATTTTTTAAGGTATCTATGTAACAAGCAAATACTTATTCTTCTATGACAAATTCAAGGTTTCTTTTTAATTTAGAAGTATTATTGTGTATCATTTTGCTCGGAAATTCCTTAATTTAAAAAAACGATTACGTACATCGAGTCTTTTTGGTATACAACGAAATATCCAAATAACACGCCAGCAATTAACAAAGAGGACGCTTAATTAAACTTACACTACTCATTAAAATTTTCATTGAAAAAAGCATGTGCGTCTCCGGACGCACGACAGAAGTGATAAATCTAAGCGGCGCTGCGGGTCAGAGTGAGAGAAGAGTATTCTACCTACCGCTGCCGTATGCGTGAGAGGAGGAGAAGCCAGACAGACTGGCGCAGTAACGCGTTACGTAACGAAGAGATTTACCCTCCCATAAGAAGTTATCACTTCAAAAAGCAAAGGTTCTCTATTTTAAAGCTTATTTATGTATATAAAAAAGCTTTAAAAGATAACAATAGCATTTCCATTAAAAGTATATTAATATACTTTTAATAAATTAAAATATAAAGCCTGCTTAGAGTAGGCATTCCTTTCGTCTATTACTTTTTAAAATATAACGTACATGTATAGATAATGAATGTTAAATTCTGCAAGTATTATGGAAATTAACAATGTGTTTGTACATAAGTTCCATGCCTATTTTAAAATGCCATACTGATTAATCTCTATTTGTCTGTTTGTAATTAATTAACAAAGCTCAATTATTTATACTGAAACCAATCCGTACCAACCCTAGGTCTTTAGGGTTCCTGCTAATTGCTGCAATGTAGTACTGATAATACCGTGTCAGTTTATCATTGAATGTTTTTCTTTATATGTTGGTATTGGTTTCTCAAACTTATAATTAGTTTGAAAAACCCATAGGGAAAAAGTGACAGTCAAAGACATTGTATAAATACTTAACTTAAAAACGCTTATGTTATTACATATTTTCACCTTACTTATATAATAAAAGTAGACTTGCCATTAAATGTTATTGTATTTCATAGGTAAATACTTAGATTCTACTTAGATACCAGTACCGATTTTAAATGCTCATGTATAACTCAGAAGTTTTTTAAAGTTAACTAATAACTTAAGAATAGGTACTAGTAAAATTTTAATGAGTAAATTTAAGTTGTAGTATTTGTATCGACTCTCTATTCAAGTAGAGACAAAGTGAATCCACGTGCCAAATGATTAGATAGATAATAATATATTTTAAGCCATTGTATATTAATTAGTATATTTTACTCTTCTAACTTTAAGAATATTCAATACTGTAAGTATCTGTGATGTACGTACATACAGTACAGATTTCTTAGCTCAAGAAACGTACAGAAATTTTATTTAACTCTTTTTAAACATATTTAACTAATTATTATTGAACAGTATCTTAATTTGATTTTCTTAAGAAGTGTTTTACAGGGCCTTTTTTATGATTATGTGCTTAATATGTCCGGATTTATCCAACTAGAATGATTAGTTTTTGCTATAGTTTGGTGTTTCGCTGTCAGTATGGGCTTTGATCCCTTGCTTGCAATGATCTTGCCCAGTTGAAATAAGGAAGAACACACGAATGTTATGAAATATTAGCTAACTACACGGGATCCTTAGTTTACATATTGTACAATTACATTAAAAAAATTACGTAGACAACCAAAAAATCCATTTTAAATAAATAATAATTATGATATATTCGAAAATGAACATACCGAATAGTGCTGGAAATTTTGGGCAGCCATAAATATTAACTGCTGTATGTTTTATGGGAAAAAGTCTTTTAAGTTGTAATACATATTTGGTGCATATTTTTAAGAAAACTTTATTATTTAATGCCATTTAATGTTTTGATTAAGTACTCCTTTAATCATGATTCAGCACCCAGTCTAATTGTACCGATTTTTCACGCTATTTCCTTCGGAACAAAAGATACTAACAAATCTCTATTATGGTTACAGACTCCTTAAACATCACATGAAACTTTATATTGTAACAAGTAAAAGATTGATTTAAAAAAATTGTAACTGATTTAAAAAATACTCTCGGAAACGCGCCATTAGAATTAAAACTTGTAAGTAGAAATTAGCATTTGTATTCTATAGAAAAAAATAAGAATGATCAAAAGGTATGCACCGCCATCTTTAAAAATGTACATCTTACACTTAAGTATATAGGTACTGGAATTTTTAGGATATATGATAGTAAATACCTTTTTATCAAAGTATTTGTTAAATAAAACAGTAGTTACTTACTTTAAAAAAGATGCAAAGTCTTACGGTTAAACAAGATAAATGTGCAAAATTCAATAGACGAACTAAGAAAATAAACATAGGTTTTAATATTCATGTAATATGTGTATATATATATATACCTGTGTTTATTTTTCTTAGAATTACAAAGGACATGGCTAAGAAACTGCCCTTAACGTGTTTCTAAATAATTATTTCGCACTTGCCAATAACATTATAATATTTTTTTATTAATTATCACGTGTTTAACATTCTCGTACAACTTTCGTGAAATAATAAAATATTTAAAAGTATGGAAATTGGCTTCATGTTTGTTTCAAATGGAAAATTTTCCGTTTTACAAAAATAAATGAACAATAAATGTACACAAAAAATATTTGTGTAAGTATATCGAAATAAACAATATTAATTCCCAACTCCTTAAAACTATGATATATTTGGCCCTAATTTTTATTATTACAAATCACTGAAGGCCTAAAACTGTAGATTTTTTTATTTTGATCATTCTTGAGACAAGGCTGTACGATAATTAATCAGCAACTTAAATGGCAACAGCTTTTATTAAATGTAGCAAAGAATGACATAGTAGGAGTTCTCATAATTTTCAACATTGTGACTTTATCAAAAGTTCCTGAGCCGTATATCATAGATATTATAAACATACAGCATACAGCCATTCAGCATTAAATATAACTAGGTACAATATTTATACATTGCTAGGACAGTCGCTCATACAAAATTTTACCATGTCCTTTGTGGTGTTCATCATACAATATGTATGTAAATTTTCGAACTAACTAAATACTCGGTAAACTTTTGTATAAATAAATTTTATTGATAAGCCAAAGTAATTGTGATTGTTAGCAATAAATTGCATTTTATTTTATTCAATAAAAAATAGTGGCCAAAAAGTTTACAATTATTTAACGAGGTTTTGGTGTTTTAAATAAACTACTGTGGTAGTGGACTCAAAACATTTAATATGTGTATTTAATAAGCTATATCCATAATTATTGTTAATAATAAATCCTAAAGTACTCCTTCACACCAGTTTTATTAGTCCCAAACTAAAGTTGTAAAACACAAGTACATAATTCTGGAACCTTCGTCTGGAACCTACAAACCCCATTCCAAAAACAATGTATGTATTTCCTATGTTCATATATATTCATTTGTTCTCTAGTTGATGGTGAGGTGGTCATAGTTTTTCAGAATTTCTGTCTGAAAAAAATACTTTACTTTAGGGTAGATAGTTTTTCACAAACTCCTTAATAACAACTGTTACTAAACAGATGTCTGCAGATTGTGATTTAACTGGCACAGCAGCGGCGCCTAAGAAATAAAAGTCTGCAATGACATGCGATAAAGTAAAACTTTTGTCAGTAGCTACATAAATTATACTTGGTGTCACTCTCTTCGGAATGGAATTAGCAAGGGGACCCGAAAGCCAAACCTGAAAACTATTCCCAATAAAAAATAACTATGGAGTAAAGTAAAATCGTTGACGATAAAGTGCTGAAAAACATTCTCACTAGACTTTGCCAGGGCTACTTACTCTAGATATTTCCAGAAGTTACCTTCAAGGTGACAAAAAAATATTATGCAATTCGTAAACATAACGCCGTATTTCTAGGATCACTCAATCTAAATGCGTCAGGATTGAGTGATCCCATGACACTATCATAGATTCCTGGATTTACGTTGAAGTAACTTGATTTTTTGTAAAATAATGTGACATATTCTGTACATTTTTTTAATATCAAAATTTCGATCACAGCGTTTAAGTTATCTCTTGATCTCTTCATTCACGCTGAATCTCCAGCGTATACTATTTTGCCTAATGTCTGAATTTTTGTGATCCACATTTTAGGCAATATCTTCGATCGACTATGAGTGACAATTTTTTTGATTTCGGTTATGAGTTTTGACAATTTTACACTAAACGTACGTTTTGGTTTTATTGAAAACTGAACAAGGATCACTCAATTCAGATGCACATTAAAAAGACTAGTGCCAGCGCTATATATTTTTGGGGTAAAAATATGGACCATTCAAAACTGAGATTCAAAGGAGTTGTAGATACTATGCTTCCAATTTGAATAACTTATTAACAGTTTATTCATCACTACGCGGCAATGGCAGCAGGTGGTAAGCGTGTTCGGTCGTTACAATTAAGCAACTTTGGCAATGGTCGGTCATTGGATGGGTGACGAAAAACTTATTATCTCGAGCTTATACACGTTAAACCGTTGGTCCTGGCTGCATCTGCAGTCGTTAGCACCCACGTATCAGCACTGGGCTCGCGTGGTGGGTCACGCCCAGATCTCCCTATTCCATTGATAGGGAAGGCCTGTGCTCCAGCAGAGGGGATAGTAATAATAGGCTGATGATGATAATGATGAACGCAGCAATATTATCCGAACCAAAAAAATAAAAAAACTGCAAGAGAAACGTCGAGCTACACAGCAAAAAATACATAATAGAAAAACTTGTGTAAAAAAATGGGTAATATGAGAGCTACATTCAGCATACCTAAAAATTAAAAAACCGAGTCGGACTCGTACACAAAGGATTCCACACTATCATATAGGATCATTACTAGAAAATCAATAAATAAAAAA